CAAGAGAAATGCAATTGAATAAATATCTTGTATTTGAAAGCAGAATTTTCGCTATTGTGGCTCCATATATATATTTCTTCTCTTGTACTCATCTAGTCAATGGATCAGAAGTTTCTCCGTCATCATGAATAGGAATATGGCTCTATTGCTTTACTACCATCAAAATATGCGTGTGTGAGGGGGTGCAGGGTGTGTGTGAGAGGTGCAGGATGTCTGAGGGGGTGCATGGTATGTGTGAAGTGGTGTAGTGTGTGTGAGGGGCCTATATTGTGTTGGGGGCGGGGGGGTGATCAGGGAGAAAATTTATATTATTTACTTAAAAGGGGGGGGAAGAGCTTTATGCCCCAATTCTTACCTCTGGCCTGGAAGTAGGGGACATATCACTACAATCCCTGTTGGTCCAGTGGTGGCACATTCACTTCAGCTTGCAGCTCCTCTGGCTGCAGGCTGACCTCACTATTTTCTTCCCGTGAGCACAACGATGTGTCGGAGCATTGTAATGGTAACGCGTGGAAACGTTCCGACGTGCTTCTTCGTGTAAGGAGCACAGCCTCCTGGGTACACCTCCTGCCCTGCAGTCTCCCGGGTTCTCCCTCTCCCTTAACAATCTTCCAGGAGACCCCTCTAGCCCGAGAAAGGCAGACAGCAGGACCATCTTACCCCAGGTAAAAGCATGATGAAAGCTTTCACGGACCGGCAATAAATTCTGAAGACCACTGGTTTAGAGCACCTGCCTTGCAAAGCCTTCTCATTGAACTGCCTTGGGAAGTCTGTGATTGGACAGCCACAGAAAGTCTGGGCTGGATTAAAAGGAAAGGACTTGCAAAGATTTTAGACAAGATATCTGCAGCTTCAGCAAGAGGTTTTTAAATATACCAAATGTCTTTTCATTTGTGCAGTGGAGTATTAATTCAATGGAGTGATTAATTCCTTACAGGTGTAATTCAGAGATAAGCCACAAGATGCCGCCAAAGGAGTACATTTTTTGACACTTAAAGGGACAATATAGTCACCAGAATAACTACAGCTTAATGTAGTTGTTCTGGTGAGTATAATCATTATATACAGGCATTTTCATGCAAACACTGCCTTTTTAGAGAAAAGGCAGTGTTTACATTTGTAACGGATCGCCTGGCACCCCGACTGGGTACCTCCGTTAAAGGATGCTCCTAGTGCTTCCTGAGGACTCCAAGCACTGCAGCAGACACCACAACCACCGAACCGGAGAAGCATATGAATCCTCTCAAGCATATGAATGCTGTAGACAGTTGAATAGGAACCATACGAATAGGTTTACTCTCCTAGCAGTCAAACTGGAACAGCATACAATAAATCCTTCCCCCAATAATGAGACGACACTTCACTTTGAGGGTTAAAACAGGAACTCCCTGTACTGTCACATACAGTCTCTTTTATTCCCAATCCACAAACATAGTACAGCCCACAGGGCGTTACAAAACAACCAATCAATCCGTACAATACACCCAGACACTCCCACACAAAATCCTCCCCTCTGCAGGTGATATGATTACTGAACACAATGGGTAATCTCATTATCACTGGCAGAGGAATACAGTTTTTACACAATATTTATAACTTCTAAAATATACATGTCACAAACATAAAACATACATTTTCATAATCAATCCATTCAGGGGAACAACATATTAAAAAATGGCACGAATCAGACCAGGGGTTCAAAAGTTAAGGGAAAGTCCTTTGTGACTAAATGAAGCATGGCTTTCCGGCCCAAACCAGTTTCAGAGTCTTCTATCCTGGAGATTGAATTGAGAAGTAATTCAATTATCTCCCAGGACAGACACAAGACTCCATTATGCACATGGTGAGCACAAAGCATTAAAATATTATAAAATACACAAAGTCACATTTTATACATAAAACACAGACATGTCACATATCCCCAGATAGCTGGGATCTGAGCGCACAAAACTACTGAATAGCGCTCAGATCCTATTCACACAGTTCAATTGCCATGGAGCCGAAGTCTTTAACTACACGAATGGGCTCCATGGCATAGCTATCTGGGTTAATACATTCACATAAAGTCTGGTCCATAGTCCAAAGGCAAGAGGCGGGCAAGCAGCCCCCTCCAAGGACACGTGGCGAGGCCGGTTTCGCCACAACATTGCCCCTAGTGATGCCTCCAAGTGACAACTCCTCAGATGGCCATTGGAGATGCTTCCTGGCTCAGTGCTGCACAGTAAGCAGCACTGCCGATCAGTGTCTCCACGCTCTGCATGGGGACGTTGAATATTCCAGATAGAGATGCATTGATTCAATGCATCTTTATGAGGAGGTGCTGATTGACCAAAACGGATTTTGACCCCGGCCCCTTGCCGATTTTAGCCAATCCAATGCTTCCCCCCACGGGAAATCATTGGATTGGCTAAAAATCTGCAATTCTGATGTCACCAAGGGTGCGGGGCCAGTGCCGGTGTTCTATCAAATTTCCCTACCGCGTGAAAATCCCTTATCCTCGTTACTTCCAGTGCATGCTAGCACTCCTGCTACTCCTCCACAGCAAGGTCCTGGAAGGTAAGTAGAACTAGTTTTACACTTTCATTATAGTTAGTGCATTCACTAAGCTTAGGCACACAGGACATTTAGGGTTGATGTTAGGGTTCAAATTAGGGTTAGGTAACTTATTTTATCCTTTCTCACATTCTTTTCTTACCCTAACCCTTGGGGTAAGGGTTAAAATAAAGTGTGAAAAAGCACAATTTAGTGATATTCCCCTAATGTGAAATGTCACTAAATATGAACAAGTCCCTAATCCTAACCCTAATTTGAACCCTAACAATAACCCTAAATGTCCCATGTCCTAAGCTTAGTGAATGCACTAAATATAATGAAAGTGTAAAACTAGTTTTACTTACCTTCCAGGACCTTGCTGTGGAGGAGTAGCAGGAGTGCTAGCACGCATGTGCAGCACAGGAGCCAGCTGATTCCCCTCTCCGGAAGTGACGTGGGTAGGGAATTTTCACAGGTAGGGAAATTTGATAGAACACCGGCGGACCCACATGGCGCTGGAAATAAGGGGAGTTTTTCGTGCTTTTCAGAGGGCTAAAGGGGGGCAAGCCACCTTAATGGTGGGGTTTGCATTACAGGGTCAGGAATACATATTTGTGCTCTTGACCCTATAGTGTTCCTTTAATATATAAAACCCAAACCTAAAAGCAAAAAAAGAGGTTTAGCGTAATTTCTAACACCCACCGGTATCAGTAAAGAATTTTTTTGATCGTGCAAAGCAACCGTGATTATGGTCACTGTGAGCAAAATCTTACATGGTCACTGTGTTATCAGAGCACATTGAGATTTTTAGTTATAAAATAACCCCCTGAGCAGATTCTGGAGAAAAAAAAGGTAATAAATAACTTTAAATAAATAAAGCAGCAAATGTATGTATAAGCAAATGTATTTGTGAATTCTGGCTGTGTGTTTGTATAAGGGGTGTATAGGTGTGGTGTGGCAGTGTTTGTATGTGACGGTATATTTGTGTCATGTGACAGAGTGTGTGAGCAGGAAGTTTAAGTGTGGTGACCTCTCTCCTTATTAGGTGTAATATTAAGGATGTTTAATATAATTTTAAATGTGCCTTTGTTGCTGTGTAGCGTGACTGCGCATTTGTTTTTACATTTTAATTTAATGCTGAGGGTTTGTTTTTTTAAGATACCCTCCTTTCATTGTGCATCCCCCGACTCCATCCTCTCACAGGATCAGAGTGGACACATGCACTTTGAGCAAGGAAGAGTGGTCCAATAAAATACTTCTATGTGATGTCAGACGGAGAGGCGCAATATTCAAGTGACCTGAAGGAGCGGAGCGCACAGCACAGCCGGTGTCAATTCATGTAGTGTGACATAGCTCAACCAGCACCTCCATTCGGAGTTTTATTAGATTTCTGGTCCCGTCAGCCGCATCTCATCTGGGGCTGCACTGGCCATGACATGGGTCGAAAATTCTGACCGGGCCCGAATTCCAAACAGAATACTGACCACTAGTGATGTCCCGAACGGTTCGCCGCGGACTCATCATTGAGTAAACTTTGACCCTGTACCTCACAGTCAGCAGACACATTCCAGCCAATCAGCAGCAGACCCTCCCTCCCAGACCCTCCACCTCCTGGACAGCTCACTAAGAATGCAGCTTCACAATGGATGCTGTCCAGGAGGTGGGAGGGTCTGGGAGGGAGGGTCTGCTGCTGATTGGCTGGAATGTGTCTGCTGACTGTGAGGTACAGGGTCAAAGTTTACTCAATGATGAGTCCGCGGCGAACCGTTCGGGACATCACTACTGACCACTCATGTGCAGCATAGGGAACAGCATCTGATGGGTCAAGATAGCAGCAAACGTTCTATCTACACTATTGGCCTGATACTGCTGTGGGAAATGGCCAGGAAATGAAAAGCAAGAGATTTCTGTTTTCCTGGCCAACCGCAGCAGCATTATTAATGGAAATCCCCACACAAAGATGGACGGGAGACATAAATCACTGCAAAATATTTTTTTCCTATACTCTTTGAAGAAAAAAAGAGTATAGGAAAAAATATTGAAGTTTTTTTCTCATATTACAAAGGGTACCATTACAATACAAAACATTATACGTTTCATATTTAAATAAAGTTTAAGTTGCAGAGATAAACTTTTAATTTATTGAGAAAATACTGGTAATTTATTAAAACGCAACTTTACACAATATATTTTAATATCCACATTCATACATACTTTCATGCGGGCCTTCTTAACTGTATTACAATATTGCTTCTATGGTTGATCAGGTAATATATTTGATATTCATGTGAATTGTTTTGAACTACAAGTCCACCAACCTAGCAAGTGATTGCAAAATGCAAGAGAAGTCAAAAATGTCAGGGCAACCAATTATGACTGCAATGTAATGCTGCGGGCAATAGCAGTGGCATGGCTGCTCAATATTTTCCCATCCACGTGCATCCTGTGCATCCCACGAATGTTGCAGTGATTGCTGGAAAACCATATTTTAGAGTCATCCTGTGCATCCCACGAATGATGCAGTAATTGCTGGAAAACCATATTTTAGAGTCATCCTGTGCATCCCACGAATGTTGCAGTGATTGCTGGAAAACCATATTTTAGAGTCATCCTGTGCATCCCACGAATGATGCAGTAATTGCTGGAAAACCATATTTTAGAGTCATCCTGTGCATCCCACGAATGATGCAGTAATTGCTGGAAAACCATATTTTAGAGTCATCCTGTGCATCCCACGAATGATGCAGTAATTGCTAGAAATCTAGTATACAGCAATGATCAACATCTTGTTTCTTTTTTCTCCTTCGCTATATCTGTCCCCCCTCCACCCCAAAAAAATATGTTATGTAGCACACGTCTTTTCCTAAAATGTAGCAATTTATATAAATGAAAAATGAACAGAGAAAAGCACATTTGCAAACTCCACCAGCAGATGGCAGCAAGGTACAACTATTGTCAAAACTGCATGCTGGGCAAAATTGTGGATTTTAATATTGAAATGTTTAACCAGTAAGGGTACATTAGTTACTTATGTACTATTTTCCTAGGAGAATACATTGAGATTTCAGGTTTGTTCTAGTATCATATTAACCTCTGAAGTATGGAAGGTTGAGTTACCTCTGCAACATATTAGATAAAGTAACTGAAGCTCTAATCACTGAACTATCTCGTCAGCATTTGGAAGGAGTTTGTAGAACTGACCGTGGAATGGCAAAGACAGTAATTTCTACTGTATCAGCTTAAGAAACACTCAGGGTTAATCTGTAAACTGGGAATTGTGGGTAACTGACATTTTATAATCATGACTACATACAATTTGTTTAAATATAATTTATAAGCTATATATAACCAAATGGGCACAATTGGAATGAAGAATTCCCTTTGACAACCATCATTTACAAATGGATTTATTTAACATAGCAGCTCCATAATATCTTTTTCATTGAGAAGCACAATTAGAGCTGCAGCTAAAAAACAAAAAAAACAACAAATTGTATCCAAGATGATGCAGTCCAATGCAACACAGCAACACAATATAGAACATTTCAAAATAAGGAGCAAAATATATAAAGGGTTACTTAAAGTATCATAACCTCTACAGCCCACTGTGAAGATTATGATGTGCAGAGTACTGTGGTCTCATTTCAAAGTTTATGGCCCTCTTACCGGAGTTTCTGAGTCTCTTCTCTTACCTGAGTCTCTCCAACAAGCACCGAGGGTCCTCTATCTGCACAGAATTGACATTAGCCAGTCTGGAACTCTTGTTGCGTGTTGCTAATTAGGTATGTGCATGGGGAAAATTTTCGGTTCGGTTCGGCATTCTGAAATTCGGCACTTCGGAACTTCGTCAACTTTGGCACTTTGGAATTTCGGCACTTTGGCACTTCTCTTGCAGCCGCAAGCGGGCTTAAACCCACCAATCAGAGTGCTCTGAGCCTAATTGCAGGGCGGGGCAAGGCTTTATAGAGTTTACTCACCACAAGGACCACCAGGGATGGATGCCAGCAGCAGGATTCCCCCTCCTGACACTCACAGCACACACACACACACTGCACCCCTGACACTCACAGCGCCCTCACTAGCACACACTGCACCCTCACACACAGCTTCCTCACACACACATAGCACCCTTACGCAAACACAGCACCCACTCACACACAGCACACACATAGTGCACCCATCACACACACAGCACCCTTACCCACATAGCACCCTCACGCAAACAGCACCCATCACTCACACACACACACACACACTACACCCCTTACACACACACACTGCACAATATGCTTTCCTAGCATTTTTGTCTCCTGATATCCCAACTATAGAGACACCAGAGACAAATTTCAAGCAAACACAGTGCAAGCATGTTATTAAATTTGCTTGCGCTGTGCAGAACAAATACAGGGTCTTTTTCTTATGCCAGAGCTCTTCAGCAGAGCTCACCGCGAGGTCTACCCTGGAAGAACACTGAACCAACATGCTCACTTTATGATGGGGCGTGCTTGTCATTGGTGATGACAAAACACACCCTATCTGGACCGCGCCCTTTTTAGTGGGCCACTGTAATTAAAATGAAATAAAATTTCTTCCCAGTCCAGCCCTGCCCCCCCCCCCTTATTAGTATTTAGGGCCCCCACCCACTGCTCAGGGGTGGGGGCCAGGGGGAAGGACATTAGGTCCCCTCCCCTTATTCTAATTTAGGACCCCCAATCACTGCTCAGGGGTGGGGGTCAGGGGGGAGGACATTAGGTGTATTATTAGTTATTAGTTATTAGTATTTAGGGCCCCCACCCACCGCTCAGGGGTGGGGTCCAGGGGGAGGACATTAGGTCCCCCCCCCCTTATTTTACTGTAGGGCCCCCCTGCCGTTCATGGGTGGGGGCCGGGGGGGGCAATAGGTTATTTTACTGTAGGGCCCCCACCCGCGCAGCACGGGTAGGGGCTCGGGAGGGGGGGACTTTTTTTAAGTGAGTAGCCATAGGCATAATTGTAGGGGCATAATTTACTAATATTAAGTAATCTTTACTTAGTATTAGTAAATTTGGCTGAAAGACCAATTTAGGTCTTTCAGCCTTTTAGTAGATAGCTCCCTAATACCGTGGGAATTAGGGCGTTATCTACTTATTCATTCCTGTCATTACAGTGGCTAAGTAACTTCCATTTTATATGAATGTAAGTTACTTGATTGTTGTAAGTGTTGCAAATGCTTACAGCTGAATCCTGGCTATGTTTGTATACTTTTTATTTAAAATTGTATACAGTGTAACATTCTTCATTCTTCCGAATTGCCCGAAATTCATCCGAATTGCACATGTCTATTGCTAATGATGGTGCCAGATTTTGAGTTACATCTCCAGCAGCAAAGAGGTTAAATGCTCTAGAACTGCTGAACTCTGTTGGAGAAAGTCTAACTGTGCGTCTGACTTTCTCCACTATAAATCTATGCTGAGCTCATACAGCTTGGATCTTTCCTTTGCAAAAGTAAATTACTTCAATACCCTCATAACCACACTCTCCCGCGAACCCAAACAACTATTTCACACATTTAACTCTCTTCTTCGCCCTGTTGTTCCTCCTCCTACCAACTTGACCGCGTCAGACTTTGCAACTCACTTCACTGACAAGATCTCTACAATCAGGGAAGAGATCCCTCATCTTTCTTTTTCCCCTTACAATACTTCCCCTAACTTCACTCCCTCTGCTGTTCTATGTTCCTTCGCTCCAGTCCTCCCGCCCCACCACCTGCTCCTTAGATCCAATTCCCTTGCATCTCATCCATACTCTGTCTTCTTCTCTTTCTCCACCTCTCACTAAAATTCTCAATCTCTCTCTCTCCTCTGGTATATTTCCATCACCCTTCAAACATGCAACTGTAACCCCAATTCTAAAGAAGCCCAACCTTGACCCTAACTACCCATCCAACTACTGTCCTATCTCGCTACTGTCTTTTGCATCCAAGATCCTTGAAAGAATTGTGTATGCGAGATTGACAGACTTCCTCGAGTCCAACTCTCTGCTAGACCCACTTCAGTCTGGTTTCCATGCTAAGCACTCTGTGGAAACGGCACTGACCAAAGTATCCAGCGATCTACTCACTGTAAAATCTCGTGGTCACTACTCTATCCTAATTCTCCTTGACCTGTCTGCGGCTTTTGACACTGTTGATCATCAACAGCTTCTTCTCATCCTCTGCAATATCAGTCTACAATATATTGCTTTCTCCTGGTGCCCCTCCTACCTCTCCCAGTGCTCTTTCAGTGTTTCTTTCTCTGGCTCTGCTTCTTCTCCCCAACTCCTCTCTGTTGGTGTCCCCCAAGGTTTAGTTCTTGGTCCCCTACTGTTCTCCATCTAAACTGCCTCCCTTGGTAAACTCATTAGCTCCTTTGGCTTCCAATATCATTTCTATGCAGATGACACTCAAATCTACCTGTCCTCTCCTGATCTCTCCCTGTCCCTCTTGACTAGTGTCTTACTGCCACTCTGCTATTTCTAACTCGATGGCTGCCCACTTCCTTAAACTAAACTTGACCAAAACTGAATTTCTGGTCTTTCCTCCCTCAAGTGTTGTTACTCCTGTGTCTGTCTCCCTCCAAGTCAACGGTGCTACCATCAGCTCCACCACGCAGGCTCGCTGCCGAGGTGTTCTCTTTGACTCCGACCTCTCCTTCAAGCCTCATGTTCAGTCTATCACCAAATCCTGTCGTTTCCATCTCAAAAACATTGCGCGCACCCTCCCCTACTTAACTCCAGATGCAGCTAAGGTGCTGGTCCATTCCACAATCCTTTCTCTCCTTTACTACTGTAAATCGCTTCTCAGTGGTCTTACATGCTCCCAACTTGCGCCATTACAGTCCATAACCCTTCTGCCAGTCCCTACATTGGCTTCCTATAAGATATAGGGCTTTCAAATCTCCACATAATCCTGCTCCCACCTATCTATCCTCCCTGATACACAAGTATGTCCCTTCTAGGCCCTTACGATCTGCTGAAGACTTACGTCTATCTTCTGTCCATACTCCCACCTCAAAATTTCTCGAGGGCTGCACTGTTCCTGTGGAACTCGCTTCCCTCCTCCGTTAGATGCTCACCCAGTCTCCACTCCTTCAAAAAATCGTTAAAAACCCACTTCTTTATAAAAGCGCATCAATTAAACTGTTAATAGCTCCCAACTGATTCCTCATCTGCGACTGTCACTAGCCTTTTTGTGTCACTTTACCCCACTCCCTCTAGCATTTAAGCTCATTGAGCTTAACCCCTCTGTTCCTGTGTGTTCAACTTGTCTGGTTACAACTACATGTCTGTTCGTCCACCCATTGTAAAGTGCTGCGGAATTTGATGACGCTATTTAAATAACATAATAATAATAACTCAGTATGTGCAGAATTTATTTCAGAGCTTATTTCACATGGCTATTTAGAAGATTCCCCTTTCTTTGAGACTCTTGGCGCCGTTTCCAGGAGAACTTGGAACACGAGAAGCTCCATCTATTCTTCTGCAATTAGTTACATGCCTAGTTTCTCGAGTCGAGTGTCTCTACTCTTTTAATTTTCCAGCTCCAACAAGGAAGAGAAACTGAAAACCTATTCTAGATCTACACAGAATTAACTTTTTCTTTTAAGAGAGAAAATTCTGAATTGAATCTATGGACTCTAATCTATCCATCTTTTTGAAGGACACATCTTGATTGCCAAGCCTCAACAGTGCTTCCTATTGTGTGCCCTAAGGCACATTTTTAATTTTATGTAGTGCCAATCAACTTCAGTACCACTCCTAGGGTGTTTTCCAAAATGTTGATGACTCTAATTCCAATATCTTGATTATGTATTTATTATATTGAAATCAAAGGTGGCGTTGGAAGAACACAGAGACGTACAATAGTCTGTAATACAAGAGCATGGTTAAAAAAAAAACATACTGAAAAGTCAACTTACTCCATCACGACAGATGGTGTTTCTTAGAGTGACATTTAAGACTCAGAGGGGGAAAGTAAAATAGTCTCAAAACTGAGGCAGCATATTGAAAGAAAAAGTGAGACGAATATGGCAGATGAGGACAATAACTGCAAGAGACTTCATGAGTCTGTTAAAGATTTTATTATGACAAACAAAAAGTTTTCTGAGCCAATACACAGAGCAGTCTTCTTCAATTTATTGTGATCTCAGATAAAGTCACACGAGAACTAGCATTGAGGATGGAAGATGAAAACTTGTAAGAGGACTGTGTCCAATGTTTTGGTCTATGTCCAGTTTCAGAAGCAAATGTATAATATACAAATGAAATGGTCATGATTAAAAAAAAAAAAAAATCTTGTAAACAGGTTTCCTTTTGGGAGCAATTTTGTGGAATGTGTTGGCATTGGATGCATGCTTTTCAGGTTGGAAAACTCTTATGGGAACTAACTAATCCAAGAGTGTATGATACTTGGTGCTGGAGTCTTAGTCAGCATTCAGCATTAATTTGCTGGAGCTGCATGCAGTTTTTCAAACACTGCTTGATTTGTCAAGATATGTCAAAAATAGGTCAATCCTATCACGGTCACTTTTTTGAACCATCAAGCTGGAACCAGGAGTAGGACTATGATGCAGTTTCTGAAACCTCTCAGTACAGAGTTTGACTATCATTTACTTACCCCGGGTGATAAATACCATGTATAAATACTGTGCGTTTGGGGATATGGACTTTGGCCAGATCATCTTTAAACCTGATAGTAAACAGGTGGAGTTTTTCCGAAAATTGACATAATGGCATCATTATAAGTTGCATTTTCAGTTAAATTTGGGAAAACCACTTGAAGCATTTGCTGTGTTGAGCCATTTCAATTGCTTTTCTCTAATTTGTTCATTACAAACAGCTGAAAGTCTGCACATTTTGCCAGTAAATTGGATTTTCAATGGGGGGTGAATTATTTTGATTACAACCGTATGTCTTTCCCCTGTTCCCCTAATCTTCCATTTGCTCCACATGACCCAAAGAAAGAAGGTGGAAGTCTTAGTGATCATATCCTTTTGGATTTGCTGGCAGTGAAAAAAACATTTTCTGGGTATCCTGAATTTCCTGTTGCAAGAATATCTGAATCATCTAAAACCACATGTTTCACGGCTGAGCTGCTAAAAAGTATTCAACATCAAAAGCTACAGGTTTTGGGAAATATTTGTCTATTGGACCTTACAGCATTATATCCCACTCAAGTCTCCATCTACTCCAGAGGTCCTGGAGTTACTTTAATAAGGTTTTGAGAAAGGATTGACCCTTTATACTTTAATTCAGATCTGGCTGCTCACTTTGGTCATTGACAGGATCCAGGTGTGTTCAGGTTCTTCTGGGCAGTGAAATAGAAAAGACACCTGTTAAAATTCCATGTATCTCATGTCATCTGCCTTTCATCCTTTCTGCTTTATTTGTTGAAGCGCCTAAACCTCTGGAATAAATACAACCCATGATAATAAATCTCTATAGTCGCAGAATTAGAACCTTTGTCCTGAGATCCACCTCACATAGGATTTCATTATGAAATCCATGTTATCTTCGATCCCATTCCAGAATTTAGACCTTAGGTTGTCTCTAAATTCCATGTCAACCAGAAAATTGTCCAACCATCCTTTGTTTTTTTTCTGTTTCCAACAACAGAGGAGGAAATAAGGCACAAGCTTCCGGTGTGAAAATCTATCTAGAAAGAAGTCAGCATAAATCTTTAAACTTTTCATTTTGCCATTGGGACACAGAAAAGGCTGAGAAGCCTCTTCCACAACAAGTTGAGCAAAATTGGGGACCATTTGAATCACAACCTGAACTGGAAGTTGTAGTGTCTGGTACTCTCCAAAGAAAACCAGACTCTACAGCTTCCATTACTGGTTGTGATCCATGTCCACTCAACTTAGGCTTTGTTGTTTGTGGGGATATTTATGGGATAATAATAGTAAACAGTTGAGAATTGCCCACTAATTCAATTCTCAGATCCCAAAGAACGTTTATCGTAAGTGAGAAGTATTTCATATAAATAATATTCACAGTTTTATAAAAATAGATTTTATTTTATAACAAATTAATTAATAATAATAATAATATGTAACATGCGTGACAATAATCAATGAATATCCAGTATAAAATGATATGCAATACAAAGGAATGGCTACACACGTCTCAACGGCTAAACAGCATTTTCTGTCAAGTCTTCTGATTTATGAGGTATCTTTAACACAGACTGAAAGTGGAACTTTTCACAGCGAAGGGCCATAAAACCCTGGCTAACAGTTAGAATAACCCTTTCAATGCTGGCTAGATCTCCTAAGTAGTTAAGATCTATTCTTATGTAATTTTAAATAAAATAACATTTAAACCAGTTCATTAGTCATTTCCTGGAACCATCCAATCTACTATATTATATAAGCAGAGTTTAATTTGTCTAAAAGATATCTTATCTTAATTTAGAGCAAATCAATACACCTGGATAAAAACAACGGTATGCTAACACGTGATAATATCACATCAATATATAATTATTCTTAATTCCACCTGCAGAATGGATTGTTTATAACTATATATTCTTTAGTTAACTAAGATTTCTTAAAATGGAAATCTGACCGTGATTTATCCAGTCGTATCTCATGCTATTAATACATTTTAATTAATTTAATTAATTAAATGAAACCAGTATAATTACCAGTTGAGTAGATATTTCATCCGATTGGTAGATAGTCTCAGGAACTTATTTGGATGTCTCTCTGCATGGAGTTATGGTGGAAGGTGGTGTTGGTTAGAAAGTCAGTGAAATTCTAAGTGTTAGAGTTTTAAGAGTAGAGTGTTAGTCTCAGATGTTGTCCTGGGTTTCTCTGCATGTCCGAGTTGGAGTCCCCAAACTTCCAATTCCTCTCTCCTCTTTTTCCTCCTTTTTTGCATATCTCTATCTTCCCTTTGTCTTAACTTTTAAAGAGCCAGACTCTCTGTACGTCATCAGTTGATAACCCAATAGAAGCACTAGAGGTGTGGTTATCTTCCAGATCGCAATTTAGTTATTTGGTCTATAGAGGGCAGTCTTGTCCCACTAAACATACCTATCCAGGAAAGAGTTAGCTTTTCTTGGTGGCTATTTTGACGTCATTTTGCGAAATCTTTATAGTGCCATAACTTAAAATTTCAAAGGGTTTCTTTAAGTTTTGTCCAGACTATGTGTCTGGCAAATCTGAGTTTTAACCCATAACTTACAATGGGACCTTATACATATAGACAGTCTATCCAACCCCCGTTCTTCTTATAACTTTTGTTTATACTATGCATTCCTTTAGCTCTGGGAAAGTGGTTAGTTTACAGATAGAAATCTTGTGTCTTTATGTTAACTTGAAAATAACAAAATGGAGTCTGGTCTGTTCAGAGTGACTCAGAATATACACTTTTAATTTCTATCATAGCACAAGATGTCTGCCGATATAAATACCCTGACATGTTGCAGAAGGCCTAATCAGAGCTTATTTAGCAGATGGCTACTTGGACCCCTGAAAATATTTTTTTTAAGCACTACAGGACCCATCATCCGGTACTTACAGTATAACAACATGAAACAATTCAATATACCAGATACCTCCCCCAACTTCCCTAGATATCTCCCCAGACTAACAAACCTAGCCTAGGAGATCAGGCAAATAAACAGAAAATCAGTCAAAACAACTAAACCAAAAACAAGAGGGGAAAGAAAACTGGACGGGAAATATTCGCCTCCTGTCATTAATAAAATTAAGATTATAGTTACACTAAAGCTAGTATAATCTACAATTTTATAACATGACAGGAGGTTTCATATTTGCTGTTTTAACGCTCCGACAGCAAAGCAAAAGAAGCATGGTCCGACGGTCTAAAGTAGAATTGGCAAAAAGTATCTTCACGGGACCAGTCTGCCGAACGCAAAATGTCCTGAAGGGAAGCGCCTGCCATGAAAGCTCCAGAAGCTGCGGCGCATTCACCCCCGCCAGTGTCAATAACCATCTTATCCATCGAGCCAGGGTAGGGGACGAGACTGGCTTGTGGGGTCTGACATACGAGATCAACAACTGGCCAGAATGAGAAGAGCGAAGTGGAGCGGTAACCGTTACATAACGAGCTAGCGCCTTCGCCACACAGAGTTTAGGCGAATCCCGGAAGTAAGGGTACGACACAGCTGTCGATTCCGACTTGGTACGTCTAACCACCTTGAAGGTGACCCCCTCTGGAGAGGACGTGAAAGCATCGACATCAAAGGCCCAGACATCAGAAACACGTCTGAACGAGACCAGACACAACAAGAGGGCAAATTTGGCGAAGGGAAAGGTCCTGGTTATCCGGCCAATCCCGAAGGAATGCTAAAACCGTACGTACGTCCCAGAGGGAGGAGTACTTAGGCACCGGTGGACATGCCAGCCTCATCCCATGCAGAAGTCTGCAAACTAGCAGATCCTGGCCGATGGGAAAACCTCTAAGCGGGACATGCGCCGCTGAGATAGCTGACCTAGCCACGTTAACCGAACAATACGATCGTCTCAAGTCAAAGAGGTGAGACAAAAAATTCAGCACGCTGGTTACAGGGCCTGTAAAGGGATCGGTATCCCGTTCCAAGCACCAACGACACCAGGAACCCCATGCTGTAGCGTTCTCGTCCTGGGAGCCCAGGAATCCCAGAGAAGGTCTTTAGCCGATTCCGATAACGCCTCGGCATTCCAGGTACCCCTGAAAGGGTTACTCTGCCATAGCGGAGTCAGCAACACCAAGGACACACGTTGACGTTGAACTTGTAGCAATACCATGGGAATCATAGCGAACGGAAGAAATGCATACGCTCCCTGCGAAGGCCACACATGGAGAAAAGCGTCTGGATCCGGGAGTCAGCTGAAGTACGTCTGGATCTGGTGATTCGTCCTGGAGGCGAATAGATCCACCGTGAACGGACCCCTCTGATACGTGAGCTCGAGGAAGATTGGTCGAAGGAGTTTCCAATCGCTGGCATCCCTCCAATGTCTGGAGAACCAGTCCGCCGTTAGGTTCGGGAGATATTCCGCTTGTAAGGTGATGTTGCATTGGAAACAGAAGCTGTAAATCTCCTTTGTCACCTCTGACAGTGTTCGAGACCGAGCACCCCCCAAGAGGTTGATGTACTGCACCGCTGAGACATTGTCCATCCAAAGGAGGATGCAGCAGTCCGACAGGTGGTTCACCAGGCTCCGAATCGCAAATGAACCCGCAATCAACTCCAGGCAATTGATGTGGAATTCAGATTCCTTGTCCGACCACGGGCCCCCCATGGACCCGGTCGCGCACGTGGCACCCCAGCCCCAAAGATTTGCATCTGATTCCAGCACGAAATTCGGGATTGGTCCGAATATCGCCTTGCAGTTCCAGGCGGACATATGCAGGAGCCACCAGCGCAGTTCAGTCCTCACGTCCGGAGACAGGGCAATCATCTGGTCGTAAGAGGGTCTCCTGCGCAGAAAATGAGCCTTCAGCCGTTGCATGGCCCTGTAATGCAGTGGGCCCGGGTAGATTGCCTGTATCGAGGCAGAGAGGAGACCCACCATGCGAGCTAACATTCGAAGGGGAATCCGGTCTTGCCGTAAAGTCCTTCTTATCTCCTTCCGAATGGTCGCTATCTTGGCCAAAGGCAGACGGAGAACGCATTATTTCGCATCGACTTCGAAACCCAAGAACTCCACCGTCTGGGAAGGCTCTAAGGCCGATTTCTTCATATTGACTACAAACCCTAGGTGTTCCAATAAGGAGATCGCAGAGCGTGTCTGATACCTGAGCCCGGAGGGGTCCTCGCAGAAGATCAGCAAGTCATCCAGATATATTATGCAACGGACGCCCTCCGACCTGAGTCGAGCGACCACCAGCTTCAGGAGCTTGGTGAAGCACCATGGGGTCGAGCTGAGGCCAAAGGGAAGGCACGTGAATTGGCATGGATCACTTTTCTAGACGAAGCGGAGGAATCTGCGACAGTGCTCATCCACCGGGATGGATAGGTAAGGGTCCTTCAGGTCCAGCCTTGTGAACCAGTCTCTCGGCCGGAGGAGGTCCCGTAGAAGATGGATGCCCTCCATCTTGAAGTGGTGGTAGACCATGAAGGAGTTCAATTCCCACAAATTGATTACTGGGCGGAACTCTCCTGACTTTTTCTTCACTAGAAAGATTGAGCTGAAGAAACCCCCGAATCCGGGGCCCGTTGGACTGCGCCTTTGGCGAACAGTGCCCGAACTTCCACATCTATCAAGGACTGTTGTTCTCTTGAGATGATGGGGACCTTTGGGGGCCCAACCTGTGTTGGAGGGGAGTGGAATTCTATGACGTAACCTCGTACCGTCCGAAGGACCCATACATCTCAAGACACCTCCTGCCACCTGTCCCTGCAGTGAAACAGTCTGCCCGCATGCAATAGTGGAGGAGTGAAAGTGGCAGGAGTTGTACTCACCTGCAGAAAATCTTGCCCGACCTCTTGCACGGTACCCCTGACCTCTATCCGCCCTCTGAGTGTAGGGGGGTCTGGATTGATATGATGGAAAGAAAAATGGTCCACAGGATCTTTGGCGGCCCGAAGACCAGCCGTGGCTGGAGACACGACCCCGCTGTCATCCAGCCCTTCCAAAAACCTGGGATGACTTTGGATGGAATAACTTCTTTATGGAGGACTGTGCTTTATCCAGGGAGGTAAACAGGTTAATGTGTTTATGCAGCTCCTTAATGAAAGGTTCCCCGAACAGCAGGCCCTTAGCCAAGGGGCCCAATTTTTTGGACCCCAGTTCCGACAGTTTGTTGTCCATAAGGTACAGGGCTGTCTTCCTGCGCTCTGTGCAGAGGGCCACATTGGCATTGCCCAGCAGGCAAATGGAGTGGAGTGCCCAGTCCCGCATGGTGGCCGGGTCCAGGGTCGTACCCTCTGTGTAGGCCTCGTCTGCCAGAGCCAAAATCCTGCACAGGGGACCCAGCATATCCAGCTGTTTATCTTGTGCTACGCTCCACCCCTTTCTTGGGATCCCGCCCCGTACGGGTCAAGTATGTGGCTACCAGGGGGTCAAAATCCGGTGTTGCTGCCACCTTGTCCGGCAGGACGGGTCTGGGGCATTCCACCCGCAGCTTCTTGCGGACCTCCCCTTCCAGAGGTCTGCGGACCCAGTAGTGCACGAATTGTGCCAAGTGGTAGGGCAGTGACCATTCTGAGGATCTGGGGTGCCGGATAGACCAAGGGTCAAACAGGGGCTCTCCTGTAGTGTCCAGGAAGGTGACGTCCCGCCGTGGGGGCCTCTGTTGCCGGCGTGTCTTCATCCTTCCAGCGCCAATTGGGGCCATCCCCACGGTCCTGGTCCCAATCATCTTTTTCCTCCGATGGGGACTGGTCTGCCTGCCACTCATCCAGCACGGCAATAGTAAGGGTGGTAAGGAGGCCTCCTCCCGTGCTCCCGATAGACGGCGGCGCCTGGCCGGCGAGGTTGATAACCTCGAACCTTGCCATTCCGGGAGCGTGGTTCAGGGCCTTCACCCTTCCAATAGCGCATTTGCGCACTTGCCTGCTCTCGTTATTGAGAGTCTGACTCAGCCGAGTGGTCTGCCAAGTGGGGGGTTCCTCTTGCACCCCGGTCCGGTTGTGGTTGAGGGAGGGCCCTAGCCAGGGCTTTCTCCACAGAGGCAGCCACAGCCGCATTAATCAATGCCTGCAAATTCTGCTGCTGTGCAGAGGCTTCCATAATGCCAGAGGCGATGGTACGTGATACCTAAGGAGATAGAGAACAGGTATCACTAGCAGGCAGTAGGGGCCGCACCCCTAGTATTGGCAGAGGCAAGTAGTAAACGCATGCAGGCTCAACAAACAGGGGTCCGGGTATGGAGCCACCAGGCCAGTAGCATGCGTAATATGGCACAGACAGCGCAGGCCAAATGATGGGGCACAGACAAAGCAGGCCAATCAAAGGGGCACAGACAAAGCAGGCCAATCATAGGGGCACAGACAAAGCAGGCCAGTATATGGGTACGGGTAGCACCGACCCAGAGATACATGCAGGCAGGAATGTAAAGCCTTATTGGTTAACATGCAGGTATAATCTTGATTTAGAGGGCGTGTAAGGTAGAGATGTAAAAGGGTCCCCAGGCCAGTCCTAGATCAGTGGGAGGGACCGTGTTGCCAAGCAGGGTCCCATGCAGGTTGCATGCAGGTGTAATGCATCCACAATTCCTTTATTGGCCGAGGAATCATGCACTGAGTATGTAGTAATGGTACAGAAACCATGCACTGAGAACAACTGTAGTATGCAGTAGTGACACAGAAAACATGCACTTTACAGAGAAAAACTGCACTGAGAAAAACTGTACTATGCAGGAATGGCCAGAGAAAATATGTACAGAGAAATATTGCAGTATGCAGCAAAGGCCCCCAACATAGGGGGGCTGAACAGTGAAAACCGAGCAGCCAAAATTAATAAGTGGGCCCTGTGCCTTTAAGAACGGAGTGCCACACACGGCAGACTCAGCATAGAGCCGCGCACCCACGGGTCCGAGCATGCGGTCGTGGGGGGAAGGGCGCTCGGGAGCCGATGCTCCCCGGTACCAGTGAGGCTCCCTGCTCAGGCAGAGCAGTAATGCGAGCGGAGACGTGGGCGTGACAGGGAGGCAGGTAGAGGATTCCCGCTCGGTGGATCGTGGCGGGAATCAACACGTGGGACCGCCGGAGTCTTACTCCGCGGTCCCGACGGTCAGCACGGGAGGCGGTCGGACAACCGCTTCTCAGAGACCGTCCACAGATAGAGAACAAAACAAGTAGAGAAAATATATATAAATTTAAACACCCAAAGCATGCACAAGCAAAGGGAAAAAACAGGCATTAGGATAGAAACTGCCTGAGAAAAACTGCACAAGTAACAGAAAAAACAGTGGTAAAAGCAGTAAATAAACTGTAAGGAATAATAACTCCAAAGAAATTGATAATAAAACACACAGCCACCCATAAAAACAGGAGGCAGTGGTACTCTGACCTTTACTGACTGCGGAGCAGCAAAGAAAGAGGAAATAGTTGGTTGGGAGGAGCCTTTTATGGATTCCTGATGTTTTTGTCTCTGGTGTTTTTCTCTCTATGTTAATGTGCTGCTGTGGAGTTCTAGTAAAGAGAGACTTAAGCAAATATGAAGCCTCCTGTCATGTTATAAATTTATCATTCACATTTAAAAATCTGAGACCATGGGGGAACAAAGCTAACGATGGACCGAAGCAGACGCGTGTTTGGAGATCTCAAGAACAATTGAGCTATTTTAGCAA